ATAAAGAAATGACCCAGACCCTGGCGAGGTTTGTTGACCTTTTCTATCGCCAGTCCCTCAGAGGTCTATCAGGATTAACAAGCCTCCAACTGAATAAACTTTTTGTTCTGACCAGCTGCTGTGGCACTGACTCTGTGTTTCATCAGAAACTAATGTACATACAAGACTTCTGATACTGTTCAGGGATCGTCTCCATTTGGTGTGTTCAGACACAAACTGGCCAACTATTTAAACATCTCGCTAGACACTAACTGGTTATCATGCAGCACAGGCTAATGGGCAGGAGGAAACCACAGACATTGTAAAGGACTAACTCTGCAGATCATGAGTAACCAAAATTCATTCAGACGCTACAGTTGGATGTATAGCTGAACAAAAACACTCTCTTTCCAGTCCTGCATTCTCTGAAAGAACAAGGATGTTATCTCAGACAGGCACAGAGGACAGAATACGTTGGACAGTAATAACATAAACAACCCAAACTAATAAAACAAAAAAGAAGCACAGGTGTGTTTACATAGACATCTGGCAGCCAGTCTGGTTAACTGATTGAGGCTGGATTAAGACGGCCTGTGGGCAGGATGGAGGAGGCTGCGTTCACTGGGAGCACGGCCGTGTCAAACTCACTGTATCAGTACATCTAATTAAATACAGATACTGCGCTGTTTTCATGCTTTGTGTAAAGGCTGAGTACATAGAACAGTAGAACATCAGTATTCATGAATTAAATTGTGTCAGAACAACAAAAACATGCAAATTTAAAGGTACGCAAAAATGTTAAAATTAAAGTAGATTTTGAATTTATTGGCCGCTTGGGGGCAGCAGAACAAGCCACACTGAAACACAACATTAACACAGTATCGCCCTTTAAGTTGATATGTTGCTACAGAGAGACGTGAAGTTCATGTGAAGTCGTGTTTGTGTCACCCGATGAAGGTGAGTCCAGTATTCTCTCTGTTAGCTCTGTGTTTGGTCTCCACCAGCTCCCGAGAAATATCTGTCTCTTTAGCTGCTAAATGTTCCACTATGTTCACCAGCTGGTCTCTCTCTCTCAACTGTGTCTGTCTGCCATATAGTGCTGAGCAGGCAGTGTACTGTGAGTTTATGTAACATTATTGTTTGGTACATCCTTATGGACAAAGTGCTTTACAATTTGCCTGTCATTAACCCATTCAAACACACCACTTATAATACTTAATAATATAATAATAAAAACTACATTAAAACTTAATTTGTACAGCACATTTGTTAAGAAATTATAAAGTGCTGTACAGAAAAGGGCCAGTCAGTACAATTCATGCTGTGCAGCCAAATTTGTTCAAACTCACACTGTACTGTACTTAAAATTTTAGTGAACATCCCAAATATTTCGGTATGTAAATAAAATGACATCTAGAATATTTCTATTTGATGGAATAGTCTTTGGTTTCAATATTTCATTCAGTGTAAACATCATATATCTTCCGTGAAGAGCCACCAACCCTGCAACTGAGGGACGACTTCTCTACCTGCTGACCCACAGCCAGCCCCAAACAATAAGCCCAAAGACATTAAAAGGCTTTGTAGAGCAGAGGGGACCTTACATGAACTTTGAATACCTTCTACCTTTGTGGGAGTTTGACGGTATATGTCAAACTGGAGGGCGCCAAAATAAAGAATTTCTCAATTATAATGATTTAGTTATCGGAGCCTTCATATCAGCAAGAGAACATTACAAACAGTAAGAGTCTCTGTTGGAAATCCTGCAAGACAGAAAAGAGCCTGAAAAGAAATTAAAGAACTGCGCAGTGATGAGAAATACAAATACATAAACAGGAAGGAGTTACTGTTGGAGCCAACTAAAACATGAGCAAAGACAACAACAAAGCAAAAGTTCATGACTGAGTTTTTTAAGTTGGTGCCGGAGGAAACCAGTTATCCCAGTACAGCTTCCACCACTTCAGGGTAGGATATGAAGCCAAGAAGCACAGAGTCCCATCAGGAATGTTGGAGCAAACATTTAGATCCTATTCTTAAGTAAAAGTACTAATACAGCTTGGTGAAAATACATGTTCTCATCCCAGGGAGTCACGCTTTGAGAAAGCCTGACAAAGAGTCGGTATTTTAAGCACAATGTACCCTTCAGTGTCCATGTTAAACACCGTTTTAAGATGGGGTATATATCAGTTTATAGGAACCAAAAAATACTTGATTAGGTTTAGTAAACATTGTGTTTTGGGTTGAAATCAGTACACTACTTGATGGCGAACTGGTTACAGTGGTGTTAGGCCATTTGAAAGCCCAGGGAGGCTCATACGGATGCTGAAGGGTATCTTGTGTATCAAATATCACGTCTTTTCAGCTTTCTCAAAGCGTCTGTATTTGATGCTGGGATGAGACCAGGCTGAAATAAGGTCAAGGTCAATGCAAAGTTATAACTAAAAGACCTGCATTGAAAATTTACTTCAGTAAAAGTATATTCAAGAAAATGTACTTGAAGGATCACGTTAGAGCACATCATTCCTTACACTTTTGCTGTTGTTGTTACATTGTTGTGTTTTTGGAACGATTAAAGGACTGAGAATTATTGTTTTCTTACAGAACATCTCTTTTAAACTGTATGTACAACACAATCCAAACACTGACAGCCAATCAGTGTTTGGGGTAGGGGTTTCTTTAACAGTCACCTGTTAGGCAACTGGTCCTCTTTATATATATTTATAGAATTTACTGAAATTTGAAACTTAATTTCCCACAGTCCTACACATATGTCATCATGCATTCAGAGGCCACCTGGGAGAGGTGCACAGGTGAACTCTGGTCATGCATGCAGTGCTGAACTACTGCACACACACACACACACACACACTTATTGTAAATCCCTGTCAAAGAACAGCTGATAGGGGCCTGAGTGTGTGTGTTTCCTTAATAGAAAGTGCTTTAATGGCAGAGCAGCCTCTTAAAGCAATTATTCTTGGAAAGCGTGTATGTTTGCAGAACTCAAATCGTGGACTTGCGGTAATCCCTTCATTTCCCTCTCAACAACATGTGGCACACAGTTTGTTTACTTAGTGTCTTTGACCAGGATACCAAAACAACACAGGGAGAGAGGGACGCTTACTATGTTCTGCTTTAACTTGCCTCCTCTCATCAGATGTAACCGTTGTCTGTTTTTGTTGTCCTGAATATGCAGATAAGTTGCCCCAGCGTCAAAAGGGATAAAGACTGACAAGGAGAATTCAATAAGTGAAGTCTTTTACAATCAAGCTCGAGGCACATCTCAGAACAAGAGAACTCAATCTTTGTTACTAGGTTCACATCATATTTTATGTGCAGAGCCAAACCAAAACCACCCAGAGCAAGAGATACACTATATACACAAAAGTACTGGGACACGTCTGTCCTTAAACTTTTGAGAGGGGCGGTGGTCAAGGTGTGGTTTTTGTCAAGGGAAATCTTAATGCAACAACATACCAATTAAGATAGTTTGTGTTTGGCCTTTTCCTGTATGAACATGACAATACCCTCGTGCACTGAGCCAGATCCATAAAGAAATTATTTCCTAGTTTGGTGTGGAGGAACTTGACTGGCCCGCTCAGAGCCCTGACCTCAACCCTATCCAGCACCTTTGGGATGAATTAGAACAGATTGCGAGCCAGGTCCTCTCGTCCAACATCGGTGTCTGACCTCACAAATGCTCGTCTGAATGAACGGGAAAAAAATCCCACAGACAATCTCCAACATCTTGTAGTAAGCCTTCCCAGACGAGTTGGATCTGTTACAGCTGCAATGGGGGACCAACTACAGTGCGTCTTCTTCCTCTGCATCATAGAGTTCCATCATAGTCCAAAAAACTGGGTGACATGTTTCTTTATTACCATGAACTGTTTTCTTTAAAATACTTCTACTTAAGTGTTTCCATTTTATGCTGCTTTATACTTTTACTCTATTAGCGTTCACAGAGAAATATTCATTTTTATGTTTTGTGTGTAAAAAATCTTAATCTGCAAATTATTTAAAGCTGTCAAAGAAATGTAGTGGAGTAAAAAGAACAATATCTCCCTCTGAGGTGTGGTGGAGTGAAAAAATAAAATGGACATACTCAAATAAAACACCAGTACCTTTAATTTGTATTTAAGTATTTGTACTTAGTTACACTCCACCACTGGAATTCACACAATGAACATTTGTTATTTACCACTGAAAACTGGCTTGTGTTTAAACGTGTAAGTGATTAAGCAAATAACAGAGAATGGTAAAAATAATTCATCATCTTTGGCTAATTATTTGGAGGAAATTCAAATGTATTCAGAAGTGGCTTGTTAATAATGAATTCACCTCTTAAATCTTGATGACATATTACTCTCCACGTTCATTTTTAAAGATATTGGATTTTATTGCCTGCCTATGACTTGAAGTTATTATTTTATATTACTGTCTTTTGTCCTTTTATTTTTTTACTATTACTTTTAACCTTTGTCCTTCCTCTTCCTGAGCACCATCGTCACCCAGGACCTCAGCTGAACAGCAGCTCCGTCACCAAGAAAGCTCAGAAGATGAGGAAGTTCAACATGCCACAGACAATATGATGGTTCTATCCCTCCATCATTTACTTAATCCTCACCTCCTCCTTCACCATCTGGTGATGCTGCCACTGCCAAGGACAAGGGCAGACTACAGCTTATCATTCACTCTGCAGAGAAGGTGAAGGCTGTGTTACGGCTGTATGTGTTTCCCTGTGCTGTGTCCATGTTCTCTTCTGTCCTCTAGTTCTGCTCCCGGAGTGCTCCAGCTGATTACTGAACGAAGTCCACATTGCCTTGGAAGGCGGTCTTTAAAAGCTCTTGTGCATGTGTCAGAAGAGATGCTTTTTTGATTTGGGACTGCTGGTCTTGCCGCCTCTCAGCTGGGACATTTTGTGTTATGTTCTTGTGTTTTTGGTGTTCTTAATTTATTGTCTTGTTATGTTAATAAATTCCACTGATTTAAGAGCTGCAACTAGCATCCCTCCAGGCAGAGGTTTAGGACTTGAGGGATAAAGGGCCGTAATAGCCGTGGATGCAGGGAGGGGCCCATAGAGAATACCTATGTACAGGGTCCAGAATTTTGTGCGACTCCTCTGGCTCCAGGACCTGTACACCAACAGGACTCTTAGGTGAGGAGGAAAGGTTGTGGCTGACCCCTCCGATCCCGGACACAAAAAGGATATAATATACAGCATACAATGATTTAAATATCAACATATAATGCTGTAAATAAAAAGTTCAAAAGAAGCTTAAGCAGCCGACTTCAACAATATAAGGTCCCGCTTCTCGACTTGAACTGCCGGGGCCGAGCTGCTGCGCAGTCGTGCATTCATGTCAAAGATGGTGTGTTCTGGTAACGCAGTGATGCAGAGTTAATTGGATTAATAACTATATTATTATTACTGTATTTGAAAATAATCCCTTACACTACTAGTTACTGGGAAAAGTAACATCTCGCCACAAGGACAGTACATCCCTGCACAAACTGTAATTTAGCAAAAACTGTACATATTATTTAATATATAGGATAAATATAAATAAGAACCTTTTATTGTATTTATAATAATAAAATATATAATAATAATAAATATTTATTATTGTCAGTATTGTATTTATTATTCTTGGCCTGCAGCACTTGCTTTATCTTTTCAATTATTTCTACCAACTATGTTTATTGTTTTGCACCAAAATACCAAAGCAGATTCATTGTATATTGTCGCCATGTTACATGTACAATAAAGAGATGAGAGGTGCACAACTTTTAACAATAACAAGTATCGATACTGATATCGATTGGCCCTCTCACTGCTTCATATCGGATCACTTTCTGCGCGCCTGTTCAGGGGTGACGCTTGATGATGACGTAGCAGCCGACTTCCACGGTGCAGCTCTTCTGAGTTCTTAAAACCAAAGAAAACATTTAATCAACAAAACACACCGTCGGACGAACAGGGTGAAGCTGTAGGTGAGGAGCAAACTAACATGTTGTTGTTGTTGTTGTTGTTGTGAGCTCTTCTTCTTCGCTTGTCTCACCGCGTGTTGAAGCTTCCGCCTCTGTGTTTATAAACAAAGCTAAGCTAAGCTAAGCTAAGCTAAGCTAACTCCTCAGCCTGTCTGCGTTAGTTATTGGACGAGAGGGATTTTTTTGCTGTTGCTGTTGTCATTTGAGGTTTTAGCTGGACACTCCTGTGCGGAAAGAGAGTCACACCAAACCCCATTAAACATCTGGAAATGTAATGGTGGGGAGATGAGGATTGGATTTAGCCAAATACTGTTTCCAAAATCACCAGAAGAGAGAAATACAGTTTCCATGGTCCCGCCCCCGCGAACTCCAAAAATAAAAGTGTTTAGATGTGAAAGAATTAGTCATTTAATCTGTTGAGCAACAGAAAACTGTTTCTGGTTACAGCTTCTTCAATATACAACACAAAGCACTGCAACTAAAGTTATTTTCAATATGTATTATTCTGCAGATTATTAGCCCGCAGTGATCTTTTCATATTGCATATTTTATTCAACCAACAGCCTTTAGATGTAAAAAAAAAATATATATATAAAATTTACTGTCACATGAGAACGCAAACTCCGAAAAGAAAGTCTCTAAATGTGTTTTGATGTGAAATAATTAGTCAATTAATCTGTCTTGCAACTTCTTTAATGTGCTTACTCTGTTCCATAATATAAAGCAGCAAAGTTATTGTCGATATTGATTATTCTGCAGATTATTAGCCAACAGTGATCTGACCAAAATGCCTATTTTATTCAACCAACAGCCTTTAAATATAATTTTTGTTGAATGTAGTGCCACGTGAGACGAAGAGAAGCAGCAAATCATCACAATTTATGAGCTAGGACTGGGCAATGTTTGGCTTTTTTGTCTTAAAAATTATTACTTAAGCTCTTAGTTGTCAGTTGCCCCCCCATCACTTTTTGAAATGGCAGATTTTTTCCTCATCACTTTTTGGACGCTTGAGTTAAAAATGTTCTGAAAAATAGCTTTCAACAAGAAATGAAAATGTTTTGAGAAAGGTTTATTTGCAGAGTAAGAAAACATGCAATGCAATTTAAATATAGTAGAAACAAATGTGCATTGCCCCAAAAAGTAAATTAAGCTAAAAAAACAAACTGCTGATTACTGCATTATTTTATTCCATTAGGGTTTTTCTTTTTTTTTGAATTGTCACCTGCCACCTGAATTTTGATTCCCTTCATATAAATAAAGACATTTCCACCATAAATTGGTGCAGAAAATGTCTCCAGAATGCAGGAAATTTAAGTGTTTAATGCTCAAAATCTTCAGTCATACAAATCAGAATATTTCTTCAAAATAATGTTAAAGCACAAAGATAATGCTCGAGCAATTAATCAATTCTCAAAATAGTTACTTTGACTTAATGTAAACTGAATATGTTGAGTTTTGGACCATTGATCTGACAAAACACGACCTTCAGCTCTGAAAAATTTAGATGGACATTTTTCACTTTTTTCTGACATTTTATAGACCGATTGTTTAAACCTTCCAGCCAGTTGAAAAACAAGTGTGTTAAGGTGTTATATTTATATGCAAATTTAATCTAAAGGTCTATATGTTGTTTCCTCTCTGCACGTGATGTTGAATATATTCTTCCCTTCCTGGTCTTAAAGTATTGTCCAATTTAAACAAACAGACTTTACCAAGACTAACAGTTGTAGTGCTGTGTGAATGTACAGTGAGGATTTCTATACCCTGTATATGATATGAGCCATGAGAGATTGTTATGTATTTTGACTCCCAACAATTTGAGTCTTTAATTTGAACAGGTGTTGAGTACCGTGGCTTCTGCCCTGGTGAAGCAGGTGTTAAAAGGATGTTGTTAAAGACGAGGCTGCTGTTGTGCTCTGCTGAAACGTGTCTGGCTGTGTGAGGAAGCGCTCTGCCGTGGTTGGTCGTTAGCATATCTAGCTAACTGCGGTGTGAGTTTCTCTGTTTCACTCTGCTGAGCCTGTACTTACACCTAATAAGAGGTTGTATTAGTGTGTTACAGTGCTGACGGAGCTGTGATGACATGCTCATAGTTAAGAAATAAATATATAATTGACAAATATAGTTCACACAAGTTGCCAATTATAAATATGTAGCATGTGTTGGCTGTCAGAATTACACCTCCCGGCAACAGGAAGTGACGAACGAAGCAGCCCCCCGCGGCACGTTTCACCTACAGAACATGTATGAAATGTTTGTGGCACTTTTATCTTGTCCACAATTACAAGAAAAGCCTCTTGAAGTGATTCCCTAAACCCAACAGGAAGTCGGATATTTTTGATCATATAGCGGTTTTTGCCGATTTAAGGGCTCCACACTTTAACGATCTCCTAGACATTAAGTCAGATCTATTTAATTTTTTTGCAGTGCAATGAAAAGACATTGGAGATGATGAACGTTGTACAAATGGTGCATTTTCACTGAAGGGTGTGTCCTCATTGTGGCGTCAAAAATCAATGATTCGCCATGAAATAGGAAGTTTTTGTAACTTCACTGTACATGTTCGATAACAGTACAGTGAAGTACCGACCTGAACACATGCAAATATAAAAAAATAGCAATAAGCTATAAAACCAGATAACACAAAGTGCATATGATTTGTTTTCCCAGTAGCATTGTCTCACCTGACGATGATGGGATGAACCATGAGACAATATAAAAGTGTCAGCCGTCAGAGATGCTGTCCAGGGGCTGTTGAACACTCACCTTACTGCTCGTTGTGCCCTCGGTTACTGTTGCAGATCTCTGTCAAGCTTCTGAAACTAAAATCAGAAAACAAAAGCAGCTTGTCATTTCTGATCAACTACGGTAGCTATCTGGCTAATTGAGCTGAATTGTAGCATTTTTGCAGCTGGCTCGATTGAAAACAAGAACCATAGAAAGGGCGGTCAAAATGGTATAAAGAAAAGACTTTGCTCTACTATTATAATACTAGTATAGTGAGAAACGATGTAATATCAGGCCGTTATTTATCTCTATTTAAGTATTTTCAAACAGTATGTTTAATTTTTACCAGAGAAAAGCTTTGAGGACAAAGGCTAACAAAATAGTTTGAAAAAGTCATAAACTTCCACCAATTCAGTAGACAGCAGGACAGGGCTGCTAATGTTAGCCTAAACTCTTATGCTGCACACCATCCAGCAGTCCTCTTAGCAGCTCTGAAACGGCTAACAAACAGGCAGGCCTTGTGTTTATTCTCTTGTTGGGGGGTTCGACGTTTCTCCTGGCCAAGCCTTATGCGGTCTCTGATGGTTTACAGATCCATTTTCCCTTCGGACCATCAACGTGTCTTTCATTCTCTCTGTAAAACAATAGCTCGCCCCCCTGCAAAACACTGCTGCGCAGATAAATTCACAGCATGTCAAAGTAGCTGCTGCACGAGTGTTTTTTTCTTCTGTAAGTGGCTGTTTAGCAGGATGGTTGCAGATACGGCGAGGGCGGGAGGTAAAGTGCTGGCTGCGACGTAGGCCAGGAATATTATGCAAGAACAGCTGTGGGAGTTATGACCGATCTCCACCAGGTCTGTCATCTCACACTGCCAGTCAGAAGGTTTCAAACAGACCTATGTTTTAGTGTTTCACTGTTTTGGTCACATCTGCTCATTACAAATAGAAATAAGAAGTTCAGAATGACTTTCCAGCTGAATACTTCGTCATGTTTTCATGCCTAATTAAAGGTTTTTAGATGCTAGATGATCAGCACTTTATGTAGTTTATGTGCGTAACCCTTAATGCAGTCGGCTTTCTGCTACACAAGCTCTGAACTCTTGGCAAGAAATTTGCAAAGAAGAACAGAGATGAGCCGCAAAAGTTCTGGAGCAGAATCTGATGGACTGATGAGACCAAGATTAATCTCTAGCAAAGTGATGGAAAGGCCAAAGTGATGGAGAAAGAAAGGAACTGCTTATGATGTCGTGGCTTGGGCTGCATGGCTGCTTCTGGATCAGGCTCATTAATATTTATTGAT